TTTTACAAGTGTGAATATTGAGTTGCAGTTAGATAAAGAGTTGCTGGATTGTAAAAATACAAGTGTTTATTATGGCTGGTATTGAGAATAAACAGTTGCCTGTATATGCCAGCTACTATGGAAATATGTTTTTAAGTTCTAATGTGAGCTGTAAACCAAAGCTACTTCAGTTTGAAAAAAAATCAATACTTAACTGTGGGGAGAAGTAACTGGTGCCAGAGAAAACATTCTCATTTAATAATGTTTGAACATAGACCTGTGATGCAGTTTGTAGCAGGGCAGTGAGAAAAACCCACAACTAATCCTTCATTGCAGCTGTCTGAACTTTTGGTTGTCTGCCATCCTTTAAACAGCCACTTCTTTTTTCTGGTGACTCAAGACTTGAATGACCTAGTGTGGAGTTTAAGCAAAAAAGAAATAAAGTAAGAACTAGCCAAAGGTTTTGTAAATCAGACTCCACACCCCAGCAAATTAGGGCTTTGTATCTTACCTCCTCTTCACTGAGTGTCTAGAGAAAAATATTAAAATAAGTAGATACACACAGGTATATATACAATATTATGTATTATATAGGATGAGATATATTTGCAGGAAAATATTCAGTGGTTTAGACTTCTCCCTCCCTCCTCTTAGGAGTGCCGGTGGTGTATGGAAAGAGAATTCTGCTGGGAGTTCTGAATTTTTTAAGTTTCTAAATGCTAATCATTTTGACAGAAAAATCTTTCCAAGTTTTATTGATTATTTTTAACATTTTTCCTTTAATGTAGCTTTTAATAACTAATGTGGTTTTCATAGTTACTCATTTTTACTTTGCAAAGTTATGAAACATTTCCCTTCTTTAAAAATAGGACTATATGGACTCATCTACACAAGATGTTTACTGTGGAGCTGACTAATTAGTTCCGCAGTAAAGTGTCCGTGTTTACAAGTGCAGTACTATTGGGCTGGAGCAAACTAATTAACTCTGCGGTAGGATAGTATTGCCAAACATAAGTACGATCCTACAGCAGAGTTATTTACACCGCTGCAACACACGTGTAGATGCTGACAGGGTTGGCTGGAGCATGAGGGCCCCAGCCAGACCTTCCTCAGCATGTTGAACTGGGTTGGAGCAGCCTTGGGATGGCAGGCTGGCTACCAGGGGCCCCTGCCAGCCAGGGTTGCGCCACCCTGACTCAATGTGCTGCAGTCCCAGGTGCACATTTGAACCGCACCAGGGTTTATTGCATTGCACTAATTGCACATGTAGACATGTCCTATGACTATTAGCATTTTTTAAGTTTTTTGCCTATATTTCAATCTCACTACTGATTAGGAAAAAGTGATGGATCAGAATCCTGTAATATGGCAAGTCTTCTCTTTGATTTGATTTGAATGTACACCTTTTCATAAGAATTGTAAAACAGTTCTCCAGAGATGTATGTTATGTTGTTTCTTAGCATTTCAAATTAGTGGACATATAAATTCAGTTCTTTACATTAAAAAAAATGACATAATGTTATCACCACTAGCAAGAAGCCCATTACATTACAAGTCATGAAATATGGTAAATGTATACCTAGAGGAGATATACACAATGAAACTGCATACAGAAACAAACAGTATGTTAGGAAATTATGAACCAACTATAGGAAGAGAGGAGGATTTCCAGACTGATCAGTAATTGTATATTCAAAACTAGAAATGAGAAGTTTTTGTATTTTAATGAAGGCACTGATCCCACTGTTATTGCCACAAATGGAGTTTCCTACTGTGAATGCATCTTGTTAATTTCAATTGGACCCTGCACAATATTAATCACTCTTCATGTAGGATCATACTCAAACACTGAAAGCAAATTAGCTTTGTAGGATGGGAAGGCAGTCAAGAATGTCTCAGAATCTAACGATAAGAAGGATGAAAAAATCTATTTGGCATCTGTTCAGTTCCTCTGCCATTTTGCTTTTTCTAACTATTAGTGTTTTGTCTGGTCTCATTTTAAAATACCAAAATTTGGAGCTTCCCTTGAGAAAGACGCTACAGTAATGATCTCCCTAGTAACATTGACTCTTCTACCAGACAATAGATCTCTCAGCCATTAATTTTTTCATAGTAGTCCCCTTAGTTTTTCCTTTACTAATTCAAAGCGAATGTGGCTTTCGTACACAGAGTAAGTTCTCCTTTCACTTTAGTCTTTTCCCAGATGCTTTTGTGTGTCATTCTTTATATTTTAATTTGTATCTTTACATTTGTCATCCTATTTCACGTAACAAGCTGCAGATGAGAAGAAAGGCTGAGTTAAAATTGTCATTCTTTAAGTCCAATGCTCAGTCATTTTTACTGGTCTTCTCTAAACTTCTAATTTATAAATGCCTTTTTAGTAACTAAGCAGCCACAAATACAAAACAGCCTTCTAGTGCAGAGGGTTAATATTTTGTTGTGACAAACTGGATGAATGACAAGGACCAGACACTTACTAACTTTTTACTTCCAAAATTTCTACAAGAACTGTAGAATTGCACAAGGTACAGGAATTGTATGATGGACAGACTATTATTTTCCTCTGGAAATGTTTGTAAATCTGATGGATTGAGCAAGAAAACACAGTAATTTCCCCCCTCTTTTTGTAACTTGGTTTTATTTTAAATATTTTAAAAAACGATGTTAATATACATTTTCTTTTCATGAATAACAAACATCTTTTGAGTATTTTGTAAGAAACCTGTTTAGCTTGCATTTGTAACTTTGCTTTTTCTGTCTTACATCATGTTTGTTTCCTGAGCCTAAAAGTATCGATTTTGTTTACTTGTTGAGTTGTACTTCATATGAAAATACTATGTAGAAATGTAACACTGGCTTCATGTTTTAGTTAAACAAAAAGCTTTAAAATTGATGTCTTCATATTTATTTTTCGGTATATGTCCATACATACAATACACAGTAGGCACGTCTACATGTGTATTAATGCACCTTTGCTACTGTGCATTAAGTTTAGTACCTCTAATATGAGATACGACATAAATGCACAGTAGCTGGCGCTAATGCACAGTAGCAATGCACATGGTTTTTGCTGTGATGTGCTAATGCACAGTAAAATTAGTCTACTGAGCATTAAGCATTTCGTGTAGACATGCCCAGCATGTTTTAGGTAAGTCTTCATAAAGTTACTTAGTGCTAAACCATTTTTTAAAGTTACCGAATAAAAATAGTTTACAACCGTAAGACTAAGTTATTTCATATTCTAGAGTGCATAACACCATACAATCATGCATATATCAGGAAACACACTATTTACAATTTCTGTACAGTTTGTTTTTGTGGTGAATGCATCCAGACAAGGGTAGTCAAGTCCTATCACTATGAAGTCATATTATTTCACAAAGTGTGTGGCTGTATTTTTAAAGGCCTTTATTTTCATTACCAGCATGGGAGTTGATTTATGTATAGTGGACTATATTCTGCTTTTCATAAAACAAAGTCAGTTGTCCTCAGTAGAATTACTTGGGATGTGCACAACACCGTAACTGAAGGCAGAATTTGCCCTTTTTGATCTCCATGGATTCATCTCTGTGGTAATTCACCTTGTCCTCCTCCATAGTTAATGAGTTGCTTGAATATTTTGGCTGAGAATGCACTGTAGAGTGCTAGATGAGCTCATTTCTGACCTGCAGATTATTCACAGTTGCCAGCACTACATATGCCATTTGGAAAGGTACTCCTTTCTTAGTACCTTTCCTCCTAAATAGGCCCAAATTATTCTAGCAATGCTAGAAATCTTCTCTGTCCATATTTACTCTTAAAAATGTTTTTAATTGTGTGTTTTCTTGAAGAAGCCTCCATGTTTGCATCCATGAAGTATAGCACCCAATCTAAAGGACACCAGTTTCCATTATTACAAGCAGGCAGTTTTCTTGTATAGTTTTCCAAATCAAAATAAGGAGTCATATAAATTGATACCCATCACCCACATTCAATCGTTGCCCAATTTGTACTCCTCTTTATCTGATCCAGAAACAAAATGGTGAACATCAGACATTCTACAGAGTAATCTGGCAAAAATATTTTATATGACTTTTTCACTTTAGATAAATTATTGCCTATTTATTTAAATTTGGCATATTGATCAGCTGGTTCCAGAGGACCTATGTGACTTCTGATGAGTTTTTCTGAAAACTATATTTTGTTTTGCTTTTTACTTAGAGGCTGCTAATAGCTCCTGAAATTAGGGGTGTTTTGACAAATTGCCATGCTTATTTTAAAAAAATGGAAAAATGGCACTTTCTAGTATTGCCTCAAGTCCAATTTCCACCCAAAAAAAAGTTTAATATAAAAAGACACTTTTTCCCTAAGGCTAAAAATACCTGCTGACCCACCCCCACAGGGAAAAAAATATCCTAATGGCCCTACAAAAACCTCAAATATTTAATGTACATCAACCAAATTTCACAACACTCAAGAAAAAGACCTTAGCGATCATCTTTCTTGATCATCTCTCTAAATGCAATATAACCCGTTAAAGTATTGTAGAAAATATTTTTCTCATAAAACATTCTTTGTAATCATCGTTGCTTATCCTCACAAATTACTTGGTGGTAGCTCACTAAGGTATTTTCCCTTTATCTCCATGTTTTACTGCAAGTAGAACAAAGTGATCTAACCAATCTAGTCATTCAACTCTAACCAGTCAACATAGCATACAAAGAGTTGGCTTTCATCAATTGGTATGAGCAAAATATTAAAACAGGATAATCTCCAATTGTGCTACCAAGCACATTTTCTCCTGTTGAGACCTACCAGAAGACAAGAGCGTTGTGGTAAAAATATATAGATTCCTTGACTGTGAAAAGTCAGATATGGTAAATTCTGATTTCAAAAGCTGAAATCCTTTTTATCTCACATTGTCTTTTTTCTCCTCAGCTTCCTTCATTGATGGATTTCAGCATCCACAAATCATCTGATCATGCTTCCCCCCACCCCCCGACCCCCGCTACACAGAGTAGTGCCTTCTATAAAGTTTCAGGTTAGACTTTCTGCATTTCAATATGTTGTTGGTGATGGTGTCTAGTCTGACCTTTTCCATTCAGTTTATACACAGAACTTTTCTGTTGCCGTTTTTTGAAGAACCAAACAGCCAATATAAAGGCAAGCAATAGCAAACATAAAACAATCACAATGACAGCTATCATAGGACCTTTGCTTGATCTGGGACACTCTTCTCCAACACAAGGTTCAGAAGTAGGGAGACGTTTTTCTCCTGTGCCATGAGTGACAGCTTCTTGTTCAATTAATTCTTTAGATGATGGGTGAGTAATGTCATCCCGAGTTGATACAGTGGTTGCCACTTGTATTGGATTTGCTGTTGTTTGTTCTGCCTTTGGATCTGGAATATGATTAAATGGACTGACTGTTACATGGGTTTCTAATGTGGCAGTTTTTAATCTGGTAGGATCATACAATGTTGTGGTTGTGGCAGACTCACGAGTCACAAAACCCAGAGATGTAGTTAGGTGATACTTGATGATATCATCAAAGCCTTTGCTAGCACTTACATTCTCAGGAGCACTTGTAGGTGTTAGCACTATTGGCATTTCTTTCACCCCATAATCATGCATCCTCGGTGAGGAAGCCACAATCTTTGTTAAATCCTTTTCTGGATCGGAGGTATTGCCTACTTTTCTAACTTCAACATGACTTTGTTGGTCATTTGTAAAGATAATGTCGTCTTCTGTTCCCATTGAGCTATCAACTTTATCTTCCTTCTCTTCAACATCCTCCATTACTTCTTGAGTTACAGGGTAACCATCTAACCAAGATTCATCAGTAATGGCAAATGTATCTTTTGCTGCTGTTGTATCATTGTTCACCAAACCAGGCCCAATAGGGAAATCCTCACTGTCATAAATCATTTTGGCATCAGGTTCACTGTAGATGGTTTTCACTCCAATGTGGTTGTCACCATCAGAAAATTGTGTTTTAATAAAATCATCTGTGTTTTTCTCTGACTCACGATTATTAAAAGCCTCTGTAGGGAACCAAAATAAGTGTTTTTGGCTCAGTAGTGACACAGGGGATTCTGTTGGTGCCTTGCTACCTTTCTCAATAGAATCCATAGCTTCAGTAACACCTTCATTGCTTCCAGTCCTTTCTGGCTCTATATCTTTAGAGAGGGAAAAATCCTGTTCTTGCCCCTGCTCCCTTTCCTCTTTGCCACTGTCATCCTTATGTTCAGTAATAGGCATAGATCTGTCATCTGGAAAGTTATCTTCGTAGTCAATGTGTGCTTCAGCCTCATCTGAAAAAGTTAAAGAAAAGATACAATATGATAAAAAAGTAATGGCCTCTTGGAATGCTATGAATAGTTACAATACTGTGAAAAAAATGTTGAGGTTATGTTTTTCAAATTCATCAAGCCTTATTTTTCAAATAGTTCTATCTTGAAATGTTAGTGGTCACTATGATCCTGATGTGAACTAATTTTGCTTTAGCCAGTTTTATCAGTATGTAAATATGTGTGTGTGTGTATTCACAACCTTTATTTTTCCAATTTTTAAAGGTCTCAGCTGGGGTACTTACTTGCTTCATTGTAAATAATGTAGAACTCTAGTCATCTGCCTCAGAAGAGTGAAAGCATAGTCCCCACACTTGTTAGGATATGCATCTCTAGGGTATATATATCTAGGACCAGATTTCAAGTCAATGCATTCTGCCAACAACATTTGTATATTTTCCTATAGAATATTAAAAGTATTAATAAAGAATAATGAAGTGCAATGTGGGGAAAGTCATATCTCATGTGTTTGATTTACAGATACTCCCCCAACTTTAGCTTCACTACTCCTGGCAAAGCAACCTTGACTTGCATTTTTAAACAAAATGTTTTCATTTAAAAAAAACAACTGGAAGAACGCATTACTATTTATATACTTGCTGCTGTTTGAAGTACACAGTCCAATGAAAATTTGACTAATCAGAGAGGGTGCCGGCTTTGAGCTCACATCAGTTTTATGCTGCTGAAAATCGATGTAATTGCTGCTGACTTATACTGGCATACGAGACCCTAGAAGACTGTGCCTAGAACATGCTCCCCGTCTATGCAACACTGGTCAGGCCACAGCTGGGGTACTGTGTTCAGTTCTGGGCACCGCACTTCAGGAGGGATGTGGGCAGCATTGAGAGGGTCCAGAGGAGGGCCACCCGCATGATCCGGGGACAGCAGAGCAGACCCTACAGAGAGGCTACAGGACGTTAACCTGTCCAGCCTTCGCTAGAGAAGGCTGAGGGGGGACCTGGTGGCCGTCTATAAACTCACTAGGGGGGACCAGCAGGGTTTGGGAGAGACCCTGTTCCCCCTAGCGCCCCCTGGGATAACAAGGAATAACGGACACAAATTGTTAGAGAGTAGGTTTAGATTAGACATCCGAAGGCACTACTTCACAGTCAGGGTGGCTAGGATCTGGAACCAACTTTCAAGGGAAGTGGTAATGGCTCCTACCCTGGGGGTCTTTAAGAGGAGGCTTGACGTCTACCTGGCTGGGGTCATTTGAGCCCAGTTTTCTCTCCTGCCCAGGGCAGGGGTTCGGACTTGATGATCTAGAAGGTCCCTTCCGACCCTACTTCTATGAATCTATGAAAAACTGAATGCAGGTGGAGAAAGTTGTGAAAAAAATGAGACTTATTTTTCAGTGGAACTAGTGAAGCAATAAGCAAGACACAGGAAAAAATAGGAAACAAGAAATGAACACCAGAAATTTTACATTATAAAGCAGTGTGTTTTTAAAGTCTTAAGTTTTCATTGTATTATTATCCTAGCAGTTTAGCACCATAGATTCATAGATGTTAGTGGCTGGAAGGGACCTCTCAAGATCATCAGGTCCAGTCCCACTGTGCTTGGGCAGGAAAGACTGCTGGGGTCATCAAGGTGAGCAGCCAGACGTTTTTTGAAGATATCCAGATTAAGTGACTGTACCACCTCTGGGGGAGTCTATTCCAGACCCTGGACACTTGAGTTGTAAAGATGTTTTTCCTTATATCTAATCTAAAGCCATCTTCTAGCAATTGATGACATTTAGTCCTAGTCTTTGCCTGGGAAGCCCTGGTGAAGAGATATTCTCCCAGTCCCTGATATGTGTTCCTTATATACTTATAGGCTGCCACCAAGTCCCCTCTGAGTCTTCTCTTCTCCAGGCTGAACCAACCCCAGTCTCTCAGCCTCTCCTCATATGGCCTGCTCTTCATACCTCTAACCACAAGTGTAGCCCTTCTTTGGACTCTCTCAAGCCTTTCCAGATCCTTCCCAAAATGTGGTGCCCAGAACTGGATGCAGTACTCCAAGCAGTCTTTTTACAGTATAGCTTATACCCATTCCCGGAATAGAATAAACAGTGCCAGAAAAATGTTATTTTGCTGGTATACCTGCACCATAGGCTCTTGAGAGCTGCCTGTTATGCTCATTTTATGCTAACAAGGAAGGCAGGGCAGGGTAGTACCTTAGGGTGTCTTTCCATGTGCTCCAGGGTGCTGGGGGGAGGGGGGGATTTTAATTAGAGTGACTCTTGAGAGCCATTCTAATGAAAATGCCCACAGCATGTCATGTATGCAGTGTTCCACTCTTCAAAATGGCAGCAAGGGCACTTTAACTAAACCTTGTCAAACAAGCTTTAATTAAAGCGTTTCCACCACCATTTTGAAACCCAGGGACACTGAATGCATGTGATGCCGAGGCTGCTGGAGCATTCTTATTAGAACGCTCTAGCAGACTCACTGATCATTCATCATCTATATCAGCATTACTAAAATTATAATCAGTAGGTTTTTACTGAAGGCTTACCTGGCAGGAATTGTATTATAAGAAGAGACAGCATTGTGGTACAATTACTACTGCCAGTGAACAATGCATTCTTATTCATTCATACAGGCAGCTATGGTCCAGGTTGTAAAGCTATTCTAATATATTCTCATATGAAGTATTTGTACAGTTAACAGCAAAGACTATCTAATGTTAGCTTGGGGGGTGCTGGAATGAAAACATCTATTGATCCCTTTACACATAAAAGGAAACATTGCACTATTGCTCTGAAACGTTGACTTAGCTGGTACCAGATTGCTTCATACAGTAGTAGCCCACTCTTTCTTCATGTATTTCAGCCTTTATATGGGGTCTATGTTTGGTATTTAACAAGTCAGTGCTATGATGACAGCTTTTTCTTGGCAGCTCTGGGCCCCATTTTTCCAGACACCAATTGCTCACATTCTACATTCCCATTTGCTCACTGCCTAAGTACTTTTTGAAGTTTATTTTCCAAGTTGTAGTCTCAACTAGAAGAGAGCAATGTGCAAAGTGGCATTAGCTCCACCCTTTTCTCCCAATAGCTGCAACCTCTATTTGCATGCATTTAAAAGCAGCTGGCAAACAGTTTCAAGGTGGCTGCATTTTTCTTTTTAGTCAGAGAAATCTAATTTCAAAGCCAGATGGTATAATCCAAGTCTGAAACCTAACTAATTTTATATTGAGGGCAATGAAAATAGACTACATTGCCATGTGTTAACTTTCATTTAACAAGAAATAAGAGTGTGCACTTGCAGAGTTAGCAGGGAGTAGCTAATCCCCGCCCTCATTTACCACATGCTATCTTGTTTATTGTGTCAGTGCCCTTATTCAAAGACCCAAATCCCTACCCTCCATTTCTATATAGAAATTCAGTATTTTATGGATCACCAGGGCTACAAGTGAACACTTTGTAGTACTACAAATTGAAACAGTATAGCATCAAAGTTAGAAATCCCAGTTAAACTGTGATTAAAGGCCTTTTATTTTAACATTCTCATTTTAAGGGCTACCAGATCTTAAAACTAAGTACAATTTTTGCATTTAGGCAGATCTACAACTTTGGAACAGAGGCTGCAGATGGTGTAGCACATCACCACATATAACACAACATATACTTTTCTCCAGTGAAAAAGAAACTAGAAGCTTTATTAATCTGCTAGGGAGTTAGCACTATATTATTCAGTTTAAAATCAAAACCAAAAGCAAATATAACTATTGGAATATGCACTAATTTGCTAGAGTATACATAAAGCTTTTTTAAATAATAAACTAGACAAAAATATTGTATTATTAGTTTTGTAGTCATTATAGTTAAATGTATGTTTCTTATTCAAATCCATAAAACAAAATATAGACTTCTTGAGGGTCTTGAGAGTACCTCCAATACTTCACTGTCATTCATTTCTATACCTCTATTAATATTACCACGCCAGAGTTAAGGTTCATAGCTAGGGCTAAAAAAAAGTCTGCGAAGCTGTAAAATAGAATAGAGACTCTACCAGAAATGGTTAACAGACAGCAAAATTGCAAAAGAAAGGATCATTTGAATAACGAAACATCAAGACAGTTAAAAAGGGAGGGAGGGTCATTAACACCTGTGGAGTGGAAAGAGATTAGCAGGAATCAGGGACAGGATAATGAGCCATGAAGTCAATTGCTTCTCTCAGCGCTATCCAAAAAGAAATGCTGCTGTCCCTCCCAGGCAGTTGGTTTTAAAGTTTGGGTAGAAAAAAAGTCAAAGGATATGGGGAGGGCAGGAGAGGGGGAATGAAACTACACCACTGCATCCCCCCGCATCTGCCATTTTACTTTTACTTCCTCTGCCACTCAGTTTCAACAGGTACTAGAATTGCAAAGAATGAGAGAGAGAGGAATATAAGAGCCTGGTTTTCCACTCTCTAGGTGTGTCTGCATGAGACACTGACTGCATGGTAGCCTGATACTACTGCACAGTAGTGTTGCATGGCAAAAACCATGATGTGATGCTACTGTGCAGTAGTATTAGGCTTCTGAGCAGTAGCATCATAAAAAAGCATTCACTGGCACTACTGCACAGTAACTTGGGTTACTGTGAATTTCTTTTGTACTTGTTTATACATAAGTGGATAAACAAGTACAAAATAAATGCTCAGTAACTACTGCGCAGTAGCATCTCGTGTAGACATGGCTTCTTATGCTAATTTAATGTCAGTGTAACCACTTTCAAGTCAAATGAATTATTACATACGTATAAAACTGAGATAACAGAATGGAAGATTGGGCCCCAATGCTATCTGAAATTGCAGAACCCTAACTTGTGGCTTTGGTTTCTGCAGCTTTTCAAAGTTGTTTCCATAGCAATGAAGGGATGTTGATAATCTTGCTTCTTCCCCGCTGGATACTGTATTGACCACTGCTGAGATACCTGAATGCTTTTCTTTCTGACAGCCATAAATTGCAGTGCATCACTAATGTAACAGAATACT